GGTGGGCGCCGGGCCTGGGCCCGGGCGGCTGGTGGCGGGGCCTAAAGGCGAGCGGGGCCGGGGCCGAGGCCGGCAGCTTCGCCGCGGGGAGGGAGGGAGCCGGGGGCTCCGGTGGGTGCTGGGGGCAGGAGGGAAGGGTGTCCGGCCGGGGCAGCCCAGCGGAGTTGAGGCGGGGGGAAGCCCGGCCTTTGGCTCTCTGCTCGGGGGTGGCTGAAAAACCAGCGTTGTGGAAGGGGTGAAGTTTCACCCGTGGACGGTGAGCCCGGTCTGGGTGCCCTGCGAGCGGATGCAGGCTCTTCTAAAAATCACCGCTGTTTCCTCTCTGCCGCCTTCACCTGACCGCCGCCGCCGCTCCGGGAAAAGCCTGCTCCGGAGTTCCTGCTTATCCTATTTTGCACCGCCGCCACACACACCGAGTTTCCATGTCAACTTGTTTGCTCGCCTGCTTCCCTGAGTGGCAGCCGCTGCGCGTGTGAGGTCCCTCTGCTCTAGGTTTTGATCTTTGTATCCGTTTATCCTTATCTTCCTTATTCTGAAGTTTTGTAAATCTCAGGTCAACTTAATGTCACAAAATTAAGAACTAGGTGACTTAGTACTGTTGGTAGACTCCAAATTTCATCTGTAGTGATAACAGATTAAAAATGGTACCTCTCTGTCCACAACTCAGGCCTGAGACGCAGTGCCCAATAGAGAGTATTCAAAATGTGCTTTTGTCAATTGTTTTATTGTTGGGTGGGTGTTTGATTTTTTTTTTTTTTTAAGATTGCTTGTTCTTGGCTCTTCTCTGATGCTCACAGGTCTTTCCTCAGGCTGTTGGAAGGAAGAGACTGCTGTCCCGGCATCAGGACAGGAAAGCAGAATCTGTAAAAGCAGCGTTTCTAATGCTAGTTTTCGAGCTGGTTTTCATATGTGTGTACTGGTAATATTTCAAGCCCGTGGAATCTGCCTAAACCTGTACCTGAGATGTAGCACAGGCAGGAAATTAACTTCCTTGGCCCAATGCTTAGCACACAGCTAACTTCCAGCTTTTCTAGGAAAGAGGAACTTGTGATGTCTTCTGTACGATTGGCCTCTCCTCTGGGTTTCTTCAGTGGTTTTGGTTCCTCAAAAAAAAAAATTAGCCTAATATCCTTTCTTTGTGTGTATGTGCTCCAGTTTGTGATATTGCAGAAGATGCTGCATTGTGCAGACTCCTGATGTGATTGATTTTTCTTCTTTCTTTCCTTATATATTTTGCTTATCAGTAAAAATAGTTAATGGCATTAGTATTTATTGTTCCTTCTGGCTGCTTGAGAAGAATGAGGCATCTGGGACTTCAGAAAAATTCTTGCAGGCTTTCTGCAGGCGTGCACAGGGAACGCTATACGTGTTCAGTTTGTTTCATATTTCAGAGACTTCTTCAGCAATGAGAGCTAGAGTCTTAAAATTGATTGGAGGTTAAAATGGCAGGCTTGTCCTTTTTTTGCCCTTAAATTTTGCATCATTCACCTTTTGTGAACTTGGCTCAGTTAGAAACCATTTAAAGGCATTTTGGCAGGCTGTCCTTATGTTTATTTTATGATATTCTCTAATTTTAAGGGCTTGATGAAGATATTGATATTTGTAGAAATGATGGTTGTGCTCTTCTTCCACTTTTCATGAACGCTTTCCCTGCTCCTGTGACATTGCTCTTTGTAGTGCTGAAGTATAAAGGCAAAGTGAATGAAGAAGGAAAGACCTGAAGTGAAAGTAGGGTGACAGTTTGTCTGATGCCAATGGGTGTTTCTTGGTGAAGGTGCATTTCCTGTAAGGTAGTTCCTGTTCTGTCACCTGGGAGTAGGGAAAGAGATCTCCCTGAGATACTGCTCGTAACACCCACTGCCCTGCCTGCCGGGAGGAGCATACGAGGTACATGAAGGGAGCAAGAAACTGCACAGATTGCATAAAGCAGCTGCAGACACCACCTTGCTAATCTTGGCTGAAGAAACTAGGGCTTCCCTGTTACCCTCGAAGCTCTGAAGAAGCTTGGACTTGAATCAGCTGCCAGCGACTGCTCCTTTCCCAGGGCCTTCACTCTTGCTGCTAAAATGTCTGATCCTGGTGTTAGAATTTGAGATGACTGGGTAGCCGGCTGCTTTTTTTTGCCTATCGTTTAACATTTACCTTTTTCTGTGTTGGTCATCTGCTCATTCAGCAGCTTGAAAAGGTTGATCTCAGTGTTCCTTTTGTTTGTCACTGTCGTTTCGAAGGGTCCTCTGGAGTTCAGCATCTTTCACGCACCAGTTTTCAGTTTCTCTGATCCATTATGTGTTTATGAGCGATTATCTGTACGTGATGCTGCGCTGTCATGAATAAGGGTTTTCTCACCAAATCTAAGCTAGCACAAATTCATCCTGTAACCGAAGCAAAAAAGTCTGGGCAAGAATATTTCTAGATGCTCTTTCTTCGCAATTGAACCACAGACCTGAGGCTGATTTGCACAGTTTTGACTGGCTAAACCACTTCAGAAACATGTAGTTGAATCTGTTCCATGCCATTTTGGGACTGAGTTTCTTTTGGCTTATAAGCCAAGTACAACAATCAAATACAAACTCTCCAAAATGGTTTCTAGACCTGAAATAAGCGTCTGTGAGAGCATCTCAAATATAATTAAGTTGCTACCCAAGCCTAAGCTGTGTGGCAGAGTGTGTGTGGAGGTATTAGTGTGGACCTGGGCAAGTCACTTGTACGTTAGTCCGTGCTGCTAGCTGAGAGGAAGAATGGCAATGTAACACAGGGTGAAGCTTAGTTCAGGAGGGTGCTGAGATGCAGGTGGTCCGTCCCAGTGTCCACCCTTCTTCATGGTCTTCATTAGAATTCTGTCTTTCCTACAGTTTTCTGCAGCAGAAAAGGTGTTATATTTGAGACGCTGTTAAGTCTCAAATATAGTTTCTTTAATTGGAAGGAAGATGAAAAGAAAGATTGCTTTTGGAATGGATAAAATTGTGATTGAAACTCGTGATTTTCATAGGTCTTTCCGGAAGTGCTTTGAAAACTCCACACCTGTTGATGCCACTTCCCCACCCTCAACAGTTATTTCACCTGTGAGAACAAATGGAAAACTTCTTAATGACCTAGGGCATATGGGCTTGCAATTCTGCATACCTGTTTAAAGTAACTTTGCTTAAATTTTGCATCCCCGTCCACTTGAAACTCTGCAGAGGGCTTACAAGTAGGATAAGCACTGAAGTGTGGATGGGTATTAGAAAATGCTCATTTATGATCAGATTTTTAAAGCTATCATTTTGTTAGAAATATGGTTCTTACAAGGGAGAGGAATGGACATCCTTGTCTGTCTCTGAAAAGTTGTATTTCATTGGATTTAGCTACTCAAACCAGAAGGCATGTGCACTTGTAAAATATATGCAACTCCTGGGGCAGTGGGGCTGTAAGGTGTAGAACTATCTCAAGGCAGCCTATACCTATTATTCTGGTAGAATAAAACTGTTGCTTAGTTCTGCTTTTTTTTTTTTTTTATTTAAACCTTTTTAGGTTGTCTAAACATCTGTGTAAAATTGATGGCTATGTCGAAGGATTGGTGGCAGAGAGGGACTACTCAAATAGCAAGGGAGCTATTGCATTCATCTTATTGAAGTTCTTTTATTACAAGCCAGAGGCTAAAATCTAGCATCAGGGTCCTTTTGGTTTTGAGATACTACCAAGTGGTGTTTGTGATGATGGCTTTCAAAATTTATATAAATGAAACTTCCAAAAAATTTTTTTAAAGCATTTGTAGGAGGGAGGTCTAGATAGATGGGGGCAGGCAAAAAAGGCAGAAGGCTCTGCTTTTGTTTTAATTTCCTTTTTTTTTTTCTTCTGGGAACTTAGCTGACTGAAGTGTCAGAAGTCTGGCTTTAACCTTTAAGTTCAGATGATAAGCAATTGATTCTTAGACTCCCTAAATAGGTAAAATAGGTGTGCTTTTTAAAGCATTATGGTTCTGAAATTTCCCTCCTGTATATTAATTTCTTAATTCTTTGACTCTTGTGATATCATTTTAATCGAGCAGAGGAATCAGAAAATGACTGAGGAATACCCAAATTGCTCATGTAAAAAATCAAGGAGGGGAAATGTTCCCTTTTTGTGAGTTAAAAATTAACAAAATCAAATACTTCAGCCCACCACTGCAGCTTTAGTCTAGAATCCTCAAAAGTATTTTGGATTCCTCCGTGAAATTAGTAGAATTAGGCAGCAAAGTATCTTAGTGGATCTGATTTAAAGTGCCTAGTTATGCCTTTAGTACCTTGAGGCAGATGCCTAAAGATTCTGTTTTGTACTTCGGTAAGGAATTTGTTTGACTTCAGCAATGAAAATACTGATATTACTGAAAATACAAAAAATTGTTATTGACTCTGTGAGTCTTAGCATTTACCTATACACTACGAGCCCCATCATCTCTTTCTTTTCTTTCGAGGTCATGAAACGCGTACGCACAGAACAGATTCAGATGGCAGTGTCCTGCTACCTCAAGCGCCGTCAGTATGTGGACTCCGAAGGTCCCCTAAAACAAGGGCTGAGGCTGTGTCAGACTGCTGAAGAGATGGCAGCTAATCTCACAGGTAATCCTATCATATTTTCCATGCGTGCTTCTTGGCAGAATTGCGACAAGTGTGAGTGCGTGTATTGGTAACTACATGAATTTGTCTGCACATATGGGCAGCTCTTCTTTTGAAATAAAGACATTTCCCACTGTGAAGATAGCGTGAGTTATGAATTTCTGAAGAATGGAAATGCGGATGAAAGTGTAAAAATGTGAGATTCATAGTCTGTGAATCATCAGGGTGAAATACCAGGTTGTGGTAGTGGAAAATGTGTCTGGTGTATCCCAAAGAGCATGAAGCTTGGTGAGTAGTGGTGCTTTGGGATGGATGTAGGAATTCAGTAGAAGCAGGACAATCTGTTGTACCCTTATACTCCAGGAGAGCTGTATCATGTGGAATGGAAGTGATAACATGCCATTTCTTTCTCTGGCCTCATCAGCTTTCTAGTTGTGAAAGCTCTGCTCTGTCACTTGAAAAAAAACCAGCCCTTCAGTGAATGAGACAGAGCATGCAAAGAAACAAACTTTCTCCTCGTTCTTAAAGGCTTCTGAATCCTGCTATGCTACCTGCTTTTAAAATCCTGTCTGCAGCAGTCTTCATTGTAACTATCATTTTTGTTATAATAAACTGTGCTACAGTTTATTATACATACAAATATTGAAAGGATGCAAGCAACGTGGAGGTTATAAAGATTAAATTTACTCGTAAAAGTAATAGAAAATTCTGGTCTGACCTCTGGGTGAAAATACAAGGAGGAAATGTTTTCTGGTAATGAAAGTGCTTACATTGTGACTTAAGAGTTGTGGAGATGTTAGTTACTTGTGATACAGCTTGATTTGACAAAACATCAGTTGCTGTATAACTCTGTGCTTGTAGCTAGATAAGATTCGGTGCCAATATAGCTCTTTCCACCTCTAGAATATTTTGCCATAGTTACAGTCCAAATATGAGTGACTTGTGGGTGAGTGTCCAGGCTGATTCTCTCAGGGGCCTAAAGAAAATTGGGTAATACTTCATTATTAGAAGTGATTTACCTTCTTAGTACTTTTCATTTTCTTACTGTTTTCAGAGTAACTATGGGAAGATTGTTGCAGCTCCCTAAAATAATACTGGGGGACATGGGGAAAGAATGAAACCAAAGTAAAATGATGATTTATTTTTTTTAATGGGAGATTTTACGAGAGAGATAGGTAGAAAGGTCAGTGTTGAAACAGGATTAGAACTTGGGACCAATCCATACCAGGAGGACACAAGAATATCTGAAGTAAGAGAGATGAATTGGATTGGAAGCCCTTGCATTCACATACGGCATCATGCAGAAGAAAGACCATTTCAGTAAAGAGTGAATGAATGTGTGATTGGGTTTTGTCTTTTTACTAATCATACGCCAAATGTTATTACTAAATTTCTTCTTATTAGTATCCTATTCTGTATCTTCTTGCCAGTGCAAGGGTTTTGTGGCTGGTGATTCAGAACTTAGTCATCAGTTTTCATGAAAATGGTCTGCTCTCATGTATTCAGCTGCTTACTAATTCTTCTTGTCAAATATGCTGGTAGTAAGCTGTCACTGAGTATGCTGCAGTTCCATGAATGACTGTTGAAAAAGAAAAACCCAGCTTGTACTTATTCTGACAACAGAGGCTGAAAATGCTTTCTGCTGCAGTCATCTTACTTTTGAAAACTGAACAAAAACTGACCAAATTCTAAAGCCTGCATTGCTTTATTTCAGGGAAAACAATCAAATATTTTTTTCTGAAGATCAGCCACTCCTCCCAGTTTGGTATCATCGGCAAACTTGCTGAGGATACACTCTGTCCCCTCGTCCATGTCACTGATGAATATATTAAACAGCACGGGTCCAAGTATTGACCCCTGGGGGACTCCACTGGTTACAGGCTTCCAACTTGAACCTGCTCCATTAATAATTACCCTTTGGGTCCTGTCACACAGCCAGTTCTCAATCCACCTCACTGTCCCCTCATCCAGCCCATACTGCCTCAGTTTCCCAATGAGGATGTTATGGGAGACAGTGTCAAAAGCCTTGCTGAAGTCAAGGTAGATGACATCTGCTGCCCTCCCCTCATCCAACCAACCGGTTATGGCATCATAGAAGGCTATCAGATTGGTCATACATGATTTACCCTTGGTAAACCCGTGTTGCCCACTTCCAATAACCCCCCACTCTTCAACTTGTTTGGAGATGACATCTAGTATGAGTCTCTCCATCACCTTCCCAGGGACAGAGGTGAGACTAACTGGTCTGTAGTTCCCAGGGTTTGCTGGTTCTTAATAAAACTCGTCTTGCTTTTTCGGTTCAGCTCTTTTCATTTTTTTGACTTTAAATTAACCAGCTTGTATAACTGAGAGGGTTGCTTACTTCTGTATTAAATTCTGTGATTTCTTCTTCATAGTGAAAAGCGTCCTCTGGTTTTGGTTTTAAATAGTTTTCTCAGTTTTACCTCAGCATTTATTTTTGTCTTCTTCCAGAGTCTCTTCAGTTTAGCCCTTCTGCATTGCTTCATATACTTGCCATATCTGTAGAGGTCTGTTTTCGCAGAATCTAGAGCAGCCCAGGTTGGAAAGGCCCTCAAAAGTTCATCACCTTTTGTGGGAAGTAGAGCCCAGATGAGATTATCTAGCACCCTGTCCAATCGCATCTGCCGTAAAATACAGCACACGGGTTCCTCATGACTATCCCGCATTTCTGTAGAAAACTAGAAGAATATTTGAGGACAGAATGAGAGACTAAGAATATGTTTCTCTAATATTGCTTATAGCATGCTGTCAACACATAGGACTATCTGAAATAGAAAAATAGAAATAAAATCATACATCACCACACTCCTGTAAAAGAGGAATCGGTTGCTGTTCAACAGCATTTCCAGTAGCCCCACGTGTGTGAACTGGAAGCAACGCTGCTCCCAGCTAACACACACAGCCAGGAGGGTGCTGGCCACAGCCCTCAGTTAGGAGTGAGTTTCTTTAAATCTGGCATCAGGTCACATAGCTGGCTGCAGTCATGGAAGTGAAGTCAAGGAGCAGATTTTGTTTCCAATAGATGTTCTTACGACCACCGAAGAAGGTAGAAGGAAAAGAAACTATGGTAAATATATTAATGTATGGGAAGGATATGGCCAGTGTTTTATTTCTGCCAGGAGAAAAATACACCTGAAATTTTACGCTTGTTTTGAAATCAGTTGAGTTCATAATCTTTTTTGCAGTTCTGGTTGGAGTAAAGTTTTGGGAAGGAAAAGAATGAGAATTGGAATTTGTTATAACTGTCTGGTGTGTACAGTTTGTTTACCATTTGCTTGACGGGAACAAGCTCTAGCATCATTACTGAAAGAGAGAGGGTGCAACGATTGCCTAGTCATACTGTGCCAGGGTAGGTAGCCAAAGATGATGGTTCCTCTTTCTGAAGCATGAAGTACATCTTAATTTTGGAATTCAGTCACTTGTGCAGAGAAAGTTTTATAGGTGGCATGGAGGGAGAACTACGCAGAGCCAAGGACAGTAAGTGGTTTGCATGGCACAAGCAAGGTAGCAAGTTCCATTCCTCCTGAAATGAGGCCACCAGAACTCTGTGAAGAATTGACCCTTGTACATAACCCTGTGACATAGCATAAAAGACAGGGCCACATATTTCTGTTTTTCTCAGCTTTTACAGTGAGTAGTATGAGTGACATTGAAAACTGTCACTAAGCATTTTTGAGCTATTACAGGTGTGTGCATGCAGTTTACTTTCTCTTGCCGAATATCGATTATATTAAATTTTAAGTCTGAATAGCAGAATTTTTAATTTGGCTGTTAAGTAATAAAGGTATAATATAAGTAATAAGATATGTGAGCCTGGAGTTCTTACCGGCTTCGAGTTTCTGAAGCAGCCAAGCAGTAGAAAGCACAGTGTATCCGTACCTTTCAATGGCTTATATTTGTTTATTTCTGAACTGATTTGAGAGAAGATAGAAGCATTGGTGCTGGAATCTGTATTTGTTTTTTCTGGTGAGGGGTTGGTGAGCACAGCCCAGCTGTTTCCAAAGCTGAGTTCAGATTTCCCTGGAGAGTTGGTAAACATCCCTCCTGTATTTCCATAAGATCCAGGAAGATAGTCCTGTGTCATACCGGAGAGGGAGAAGGGGGAGAATAGTGCCAGGCTGCCTGTATGTACACCATGTGCTGCTCTCTTTCTAATTAGAAGCATTGAGAGAAGCTGGAGGCTGGCCTATCTCTCTTTAGCATGTGAACGTTTGATGATGTTGTTTATAGACTTCCAGGGCTCTTAGAGTTGTGCCTCTGTGCCTGAGCCAAATACTGGAACAAAAAGCGATCAATCAGGAGTAGGAAGGCAAAGAGAGAGGATGGCAAGTGGTGGGGGGCAGGGGAGACTGAAAGAAGTTGAAGGAGTTGAAAGTGAGAATAATGAAAATAGGTTTTGTGGAGGGGAAAACAGTTACAAATTGAAAAAAAAGATAGGAAAGGAAAACATCAAACTCCATGCCCTTTCGCGCTCCTCGTAGAAGGGCAGATGAATAAACATATTATAATTTTGTAACATGTTTCTAATTACTGGTAGTTGTATATGCTTAGACTATATCGGTGGGTGTCTGTAAACTTGCACGAAGTACCGTGTTGGATTCTGAGAGGTTAGCAGAAGAGCAAAGGTTTGCTGCCAGAGAAGCAGCCAATTCTTTTGCTAAGTAGTTCAGAACCACTTTTACCAGAGTTGATACCGGTTCTGAAAAACAGTTTAACACCACCTCAAGAGACCGTAACAACTGGGTTTGTGGTCAGATACCAGCTGCCCTTTAACCTAAAATCCTCAGGGAGGAGGACACATTTTGATTAAAAATTACTAAGTGTTTACTTAGAGATTCAGTGTGTTTTTACCACCTCTGGGAGACTAGTAAATTATAATGTTCATCATTTGTTGTAAATACTAATGACCGGGACAGGGAATTTGAGACTGTGAAGCAGTGTCACTGCAGACCTTCTGTCCGTGGTGGTTGGTGGGTTTGGCTGAAAAAAGAAACTTTGTTTTGGAGAAAGTTGTAGATCGCTTTCCTCATCTCTTCTGAGTGCAAAATAGTAAAACCTCTGAGCATCTTGTGATAAGTTATCACTTGTGTTAAGTGATCTGTGACAGTGTGAGAACTGCAGGTTGTATTTGAAAACTTAAAAATGTATTCTGGGGGGAGCAGGTGAGGTTTTTAGTTTGTTTGGTTGAGGTTTTTTTTAAGCTTTCAGTATACTTTCTCATTCACTATCTGTGTAGATTGTTAATGCCATGTTTAGATGCTTCGGACTATGTCATCCTTGAATGGTTTGAAAGATGAAATGTCATCTTGGTGGCTGCATTACCTTGAATTTTATGAGATGCTTTGTTTCCAGACACATGCAAAACTCCTTAAATACATATATAATTTTTACTTATTTTATTTCACAGTCCAATCTGAATCTGGTTGTGCCAACGTTGTGTCTGCAGCTCCCTGCCTGGCAGAGCCACAGCAATATGAAGTACAATTTGGACGATTACGCAATTTTCTCACAGGTAAGTATCAGGAAGCAAGGAAGAGGAAAGTAGCTGGGTTTTTTCGAAATTTCAGTAAGTAAAGGACAATACAATAAAATTTAAAATCATGTCTCATGTTTCCTAGTTTTGAGATTTCAGTTACTACGATTAGAAATATTTTTCTTTTTTGTTGTTGTTTTCTGCATGCTGATTACCTTTGCCTTTTGTAGATAGCTGTTTGCCCTTTCTCAAGCGTTTGGCCTTTGTAGATCTAGACAACAGCAAACATATACAGGACAAGAAGGAAGATGAGAATGTTTTATGTGAAAGGCAGGTAATTTAGAAATGAGTGTACTTTTCTGCTGTCTTCCAGTTCAAGGCTTTTAATTTTATTCATAATTGGCTTGGTTTTTATGATGGCTTGATTTTTAAGGGAGAATTTGTTCCCTTAAATTATCTGTACTGACTCTGAGACTGGAGGTATATGATAAAAAATTTTAAAAAACCATTCTCTTTCTATAATGTGGTGCAGATGACAATAATGATTTTTCTTTTTTTAATATTTTTTTAATAATTTGAAAAGAAAGGATATGGAAATGTCTTATTCTTATTTCTTCTATGAGTACCAAATGTGGGAAATGGAAGCAGATAGGATTTTCAGAGAAAAGTACCAAGTAAGGTGAGGTTACCACTCCTCCTGCCTTTCAGCACATCTACGTTTGCCCAGTGTAGGGATTTGATCCCAGTGTGAGTAACACTAGGATTAATATTCCTGATAGTTGGTGAAGGGAAAGGGAAGGAGGCAGGCGGCAAAGCGCAGAGGCAGGAAATGGTGAAGTCTTAGCCTTGCTATCTGGAGCAGTTCAGCACCATTGCACTTTAATATTGGAGATAAATGCATATGGTTTAGCAGATTTTTGAGAAGTATTGAAAATATTGATTGACTGTTCAGTGGCTTAAATATTGCTTGGAGAAATGCTAGGCATGGTTTTGATGTTCAGGTTGACTGTTTTAATCTTTTTGTCCCTCTTGCTCAGTTTTGATTTCTTACAGACCTGGTAAGAAATGCTTCTGTTTCTGCAAGGAGGTAACTTGCCAGCCAGCCGCAAGGTGTAGCAGGACACTTCCCGTTTCCGTGATGCCAGCTCCTAGGGGCATGAGGAGTGGGCAGGGGACTAGGACCACTGAATAATCTAGGAATTGCTCTAGAGATCTCTAGTCCAACCAGCTGCTCAAAGCAGGGCAAGATCAGCGTTTGACTGGGTTGCTCAGGGCCTTGTCTGGCCAGGTTTTGAAAATTAGAACGTGCGGAGATTGCTCTGCACCTCTGGGCTCCAGCTGCAGCGATTTGGTGAGAATTTCCCCTGCAGCGGTTTGCCTGTTGTCCTTTCACTGAGCACATCTGAGAATAGGCTGGCTCATTTTCCTCCATAATGTCCCACTGGGTGCTGAAGGCAGCTGGATACCCCTTATTCTTCTCCAGGCTGGGCATACCCACCTCCCGTAACCTCTTTTGGGTTCCTGGGGAATGTTTTCTTCATTCCTGTTTCTGCCAGCTGCCCATCTCTTCTCTTTTTCCACCGCTGCAGAGTGAGGTTCTTCCCCTTGTTGCATTTCTGGACTAGAGCACCTGCAGAGAAAGGAGCAACTGCTGGCTGCTTAGAGCTTTTACTACGTACAGACCACTGGTTTCACTGGCTTTGGCCCAGTTTCAGTGGAACAGAAAGGAGAGTGATGCCTAAGTATGCAAATATGTACATATACACAGCACACCACACTCTCACTCTGTAGTTACTCGTATAGAAGTGGGAGAGAGGCAGAGTATGGACCGGAGAAAGTCTGGAAGAGTGCTCAACAGGAGAGGAAAAGCAGCCCAATGGAAAGTGGGGGGGAAAGAACACGCATTGGTGAGTGGCAGGAGGGAAGAAGTAGTAGAAAAGAAGCAATACTGTTTGAGGACCATCAATGCCTATTTTGTTGCAGTAATTTGGTCCCTGGCAGCTCATTATTCCGGCCCTGTATGCTCCGTAGTTCTCTGTGGCAAGGCTCTGCTCCTTCCAGCTCCCTGCAGCCGGCTGAACGTGGGAGGGAAGCAGCCCCAAGAAGCTGGTGCAGGAGGGGTGGAGCTGTTGCACGGATTAGTCTCTGCAAGGTACAGCACAGCCTAATCAGGAGCTTGTTACACTGTGTGCTAGGGATTGCTGCTGGGATTTGCCTTGGCAGAGAGAGGGGGAGAGAGAGAGAGAGAGGAAAAGCATGTGCCTGAGCAGGCACAGAAATAAAGCAGCAGCACAGCGTATTGCAGTACATTTTGGAAACTAGATTCCTTTCCTCTGAAGACAAATCAGTTCCATGCAAAGTACCACGTGCAAGTTTTATTGAAGCTGAAAGGAAAAAAGCCACCAAAGTTCAGGCACACACAAGCTAGGTAAATAATTTTGACTTAAACACGTTACATACTATTGTAAATTTAAGTCCATTTACTGCAATAAGCAGAGCCCGTAAATACATAGGGGAAGAATTTGGCTGTCGTGTAGTTTGAGGTGGTACTTTAATAGCTGGCCTACACCTACAAAGGGTTTTGAAATCTCTGTATTTTGTTTTGACAGCATACCTCACTGACTTGAAAATTTCTCTTTGCATCTGTACGAAGAACTGTGTATACCCGTTAGGTGACAGAGGAGGTTCATGTAGATGCTCTAACAAAAGTCTCCTTTTGCTTGCTCTCTGATGCCACTGTCGAGGCCTTTTGCAGTAATTGTCCTTGCTCTGTTTTATTCCCATTAGAAAGTGGATTGAGAAATCATTCAAAGTTTGTTGCTGTTTCTTATATAGATTCAGATTCTCAGCACAGCCATGAAGTGATGCCTCTTCTGTATCCCCTCTTCGTCTACCTCCATCTGAACATGGTCCAGAATGGCCTAAAAAGCACAGTGGACAGTTTTTACAGCCGCTTCCACGGCATGTTCTTGCAGAACGCCAGCCAGAAGGATATCATTGAGCAGTTGCAGACTACCATGACTATTCAAGATATCCTGTCCAACTTGAAGCTCCGGGCTTTTCTGGACAACAAGTATGTCATCCGCCTTCAAGAGGACAGCTACAACTACCTTCTTCGCTACCTCCAAAGTGACAACAACAACGCCCTGTGCAAAGTCCTGACCTTGCACATTCACCTGGATGTGCAGCCCGCCAAGAGGACCGACTACCAGCTCTACGCCGGTGGGAGCTCCTCGCGCAACGAGAGCAACGGCCTGGAACCCAGCGACGTGCCGGCCTCCATTCTGCAGAACGAGGCGGCGCTGGATTTACTGCAGGACAGCATTAAACGTGTCAAGGACGGGCCCCCTTCCTTAACGACCATCTGTTTCTATGCCTTCTATAACACGGAGCAGTTGCTGAACACTGCAGAGATTTCACCAAATAGCAAGCTGCTCGCTGCTGGGTTTGATAATTCGTGTGTGAAGCTGTGGAGTCTGCGTTCCAAGAAGTTAAAATCTGAGCCCCACCTCGTTGATGTGTCCCGCATCCGCCTGGCTTGTGACATCCTGGATGAGGAGGTCTGGATACTCTCTTTTCTTTCTGTTTTTTCCCCTTTTTCTCCCCCCTCCTCCCCTGCCTTTTTCTGCCAAGGTATTTTGGGCATGCGTTGTGGAGTATCTAGTAATGTCTTAAGGGACTGTGAGGCTGTTCCACAACTTGTCTGCCTTGATGCACAAATTTTATCACCTGCTCTTGTCCTTGTTCTTTCCTGCAGTGGTTGTAAATGCTGCATTGAGGTGCGATGAGTTTGAGCTCGGGTCATAGTTTTTTAGTTCCGGGTGCTGATCATCCTCCTCCAGCTGTCCCTGAACAGATGACAGTACACGGGCAGCCCAGCCAGGACAGGTGACTAGAGGAGGCTCCCTTCCCTGAAGAGCCTTCTTACGGATGGGAGGATGAAACAAGGAAACACGAACAATAAAAACACACTGTGGTGAATGCAAACTAAAAGGAAACTGGCTCAGAACAACCAGTCAGAAGGGTGGAGAGAAGGGGAGAGATGCAAGAAGAGGAAAATAGGCAAAATAAGGAAAAAGCCAAAGCAGACTGGTCTGAGACCTTGGGAAGAAGAAGGGGTGCCTAAGTGCAAAACTGTACTTGGGGAATCACATTAACCAGAGGTGAAGAGTTAGCATAGTAAAATTACACAAAATGTTTCTGTTAAGGAATCTGCGGTGTAGAAACCTCAGAGACTTCCCACTCTAGAGTGTTGGAGACAAGGATGGGGATGTGTGTGCCTTCACATGCCAGGCTAGATAGCATCTTCTAGTTTACTCTTTTTTTTTTTTTTTTTTTTTTTTTTTGCCTTCTAGTCACACCCTTCCTCTCCTCTCTCCACAGCTGCCCACGTAGCATCTTCTATCTGGTCAGAGATCAGAATTTGTGACTCTTCCTTTGTTTAATCACTCCCCTCTTGAAGGAAGGGAAAAAAGGCCTCATTTGTTCTTGTGTTGAGCATTTAGCAGGAGAAACATCTTTTTTTTTTTTTTTTCCACTGTTTTCTCTTCTCATAAAAAATACCTAGTGGCAGGGTTCTGTTTATTTTGGAAGGGTGCAGAGGCTTGCTGTATGAAGGGATCTATGGTTAGGGATTGCTTTGTTAGTCAGCTCCAGAACTAGAGGCAGGCATCCAGGTGAGATAACAGAGTGGCATGCCCACCTCTTCCCAGGTTAACCCTTTCTGCAGAGTGAGCAGGCAAGTGGGTCAGACCAGCCCGAGATGGAGCTGTGGACTTGTTTTCACTTTAAGCTGCAAGAGTTCATAGGACACGTGACTGTGTCTACTGCCTGTCATGGAAACCAAAAGTCAATAATCTGTGACAGAGGAGAATTTCTCTGGTGAATCAGCAGGTCACCTCCTTTGGCTCCAGACTATAGAAAAGTGAGATATTGCCAGGTTATCAGGAGTGTGTATTAGCTTTTTTTTGTCACGTAGGCACATTACTTGCATATTGTACGTGTATTATGAAACAGAAGTGGAAGCTTGAGTACAAATAGCTGTTGTTGGCTGTGTATCCTGTAGTATTTATGCACAGGTCTAAAACCAAAAGCTGTTCAAAGACCAGCCCAGATCAAAATCATCATTGCCTTGGATAACTTCCACCACTGACAAAACAAATAGTGACCTGATCAGGAGTTCAAAGTTAAGGGAGGATACCAGCCCAAATACACTGCTGGTTATGTGTCCTGCATGCAAATGGTAGCCTATGGACTACAAAGGAAACGCATTCCAGTACCTGGGAGCCCTCAGTGAAAATACACAGACACCTGCAGGGTCACAATGGGAGCAGACCAGCACCTGCTTGGGTGCCATGGCAGTAGAAGCCACAGATAACTTGTGAGGATGTCAAGCTTGACTGGGTTTTTGTAAGGTTTCTTCATATCATTTATTTTGGTCAATTTCTGTTTTGTGTAATTAGCTTTGGATACTGTATTTAAATAGCAGTACCTGAAATAATTAATCCTCAGATTGGTTTCTGATTTGCTGCAAGCAAATAGATCCGTCTGTTTGTGAAGATACAGAGGTCTAAAACTGCACGTTTCAGTGGTGTCACTTTCAGAGTGGCATTACAACTAGTCTATTGGGGTTATTAACTCTTTTTTGTATATATATATAAATGGCAAAAGTGTTGGAGAACAATGCTTTTTCCTGGTCTGTGTAAAGCTTTTGTGTCAGTAAGGTCAAAGTTATCTCCTAGGTGTAGTTTTAATGAATTTTGCTCAGTGTGATGCTGCAGTGCACTTGACAAGTGTTGTGTTGCTTCTTGGAAGTAGGACAGGCTTACTCTTTGGGGATAAAGTAATTCCATTTTCTTTATAGTGGCATCTCACAAATGCCACTTTACAATCTCTCTTAAGGTCCAGTATAAAAATGCAGTTCTGTAGCTGGGTGAAAAGACATGTTGTTTGTCACTTTGCAGTTTTGCTGTGCTTATTGCTGGTACTACATAAATCAACAACAGAAAATAATACTCTCTGTTCCAAGCCACAAGAGTGGCCACCTTTAAATTCTATGACAACTAAGACTTGACCCCATTCAGCTCTGCTTCTAAGATCTGCTTTTGAGTGGCAGCAGTCCTTCAAGTGGTAGGGAGCAGGAATGATGCCAACACCTTGGTGGATGGCAGATGGGAGGGAATTCTGATGAAATGTCCTGCAAAGAGAGCCACGGTATCTACTCCCTCATCTTTCCCTGCTAGATCCCTGCTGTAGGCAGGTAAGAGATCTTCCCTCTTGACGTCTTAAGAGCACTGCAGGATGAGAGACATGATAACAGCCAAGGAAACCTGTTACTAGTTAGAAAAAACAAAAGGGGGGGGGATTTTTATTTTTTTTTTAAGTTATCATTGTTGCTTTTTGAGGCTCACTTATTCCCTTGAGGTTTATGCTGGGTGGAAGATCAAAATAATTTTTGTCAGCTAGATATTTTTTGCTGCTCACAAGGTTAAATGCATCAGCAGTAAATTTTTCTGGGTCCAGATGACTGTCATGCAAAATCCATTACTGATTTAAGTAACAGCTGAGGAGTTGGGCAGTCTGTCCACAGGTGTATCATTTGGAAGGTGTCCTGTGTAACAAAAGATGATAACATTTTTGTTCTTTTCAGTTTCTTAATAATATAAATTTGGGGAGTCCTGTACTTGCTCAGGAAGATTTCCTGTTCACTGTTGAAGTGTAAATTTTTTTTTGCTCATTTTAGTAGTGTTGGTAGGTTTTCCAGTTCTGTCCTATTACTTAAAATCTGTTTTGATAGTTCTTCTTTTCAAAATGGATAGTACAAATAATAAAAAATAGCTTTTTGTGTGTGTAGGTTATTGCTTAAAATATAACTTAATTTATCGTCCATTCCAAGGAAATAGAAATTGTTTGTGCAGTGGTTGCAGCAACCACTTCAGAAGGAGCTAATGGATATCTGGGTAGTGCCCAGTGGTATGTTATATCCAGGAAACATATTCTGTGTGTGAAATAGGAATCCTAAAAAAATATTATGAAGAGAGATTCCCTGCCACCCTGCTAATTTATAAGACAGGTTATAACCTTTCTATAGCTGCTGTAAAGGCTCACCTACATGGTAGTAGCTGTGGGATGCAAGGAAGAGTGTGCTTGATCTGACAAACGAAGCTTCGTACTGCAAGGTAGTAATTTAGTGGCTGAACTTTCAGCTGCTTTGTTAATGTGGTCAGCAGACTAACTTGGATAGGGAGGAAACAACAAAATCTGGTGACTCAGAAGCACTGTAGGTGTACAGTCTTTGGTGAGCTGTAACAGCAGTGTGCAGTTGTTACGCTAAGCGGGTGTCAAACAGAAGTCAAAGATAAGATTTGCTACCTGTGACCGTACAGGAGTGTGGTTTTGAACGCTGCAGAAGGCATTGTCAAGTGAGCTGCTACTGTAATACAAGAAAAGAAGAGTAGGTCCTTGTAAGAGGGAAAGAGTATGTGCTTGCAGACAGCCCAAGAAGCCCTGTATGGATTTGAAGGCATAAAATGAAGTACCTACACTTGCAGAATTTACAGAAAGTGTAGTACAATATATGTAACTTGAATGGGCTTCCACTGGTAACTTGTCGGGCATCTTATGGTCATAATTAAATAGTATAAAATGCTGCAGGTATCAGCCTCTCTCCTTTAATGTGGCAACATAGCCTAGAGATGCTGTGGATTCCAGCAAGCAATGCTCTATCTGAGGTAGAAAAAGCAATTTGAATAAGAATGGGGCTTTGCATGCTAGAGCCTGCAGTTTCTCTCTGCCTCACCTTCATAGTAGGGATGAAGTTGGCTGCCAGCCACATCATAAAACTCCCATGGGCACTGACTACTCTGAAGAGAATTAGCATTGCTAAACACAGCTTGCTGCCTACCACGAAACACACAACCGAGATGGGAGGAAGGTGGCAAGCTGGCTAAGCCAGGGTTTGCTCACCTCTGACATGAGATGTGAAAGCACAGGAGGAGAAGGGCTTTCTCCTCCAATAGAAGGACTGTTGCTAAGCCTGAAGCCAAACTGTCCGTGCATCCTGAGGTTGGAGGGATGGGAGATGTGTCATGTCAGCCAAGAGAGCTGCTCATGATGCACTGACTTCTGCTGGTCGTCAGCAGTCTGGCAGCCCAGGGGAATTGGTTTCCTCTTGGAGCAGGAAGTGCTCCTTTGGCAGGAAACGGGCCAGTTTGTGATGATAAAAGTTAAAGGGCCTGCTCACAAACAGAAGAGTGTTGTGTTGAATTTGATGTGCAGATACTGTCCGTGGATGAGTGCTGCTGATTCAGTACTGAGGAAAAGTGCCTGTCTGGCAGCCCTGAGGAAGGAGTGGTCTCAAGCTGAAGGTCTCACACAGGTGCACCCCAAGCAATGGTTATCTTGCCACTCTGTCATTGAGATCTCAGCTTCTTGGGCAAGGACACTCTCTTAAGTTGAGATTTATTGAAAATTGTGTGGTCTGCAGCCTCTGATTGTCAAGAGATGCTACTTGAGTAGTCTTTCAGAGACTCTTACCCTCCACTGGAAGATCCTTTTAGCACAGCTCACTGAACAGTCTTCAAACATGAAAGCCTTTACTTGTTGACTATACCCTGGTACTTGAATTGGAGAATTACAGGATGAAAAGATTACCAGTGCCATCCTTTTTGTGATTATTCATCTTCTCCTACCCCAAAATAGATCCACTGACCTAAATAAGCTGCATACATTTGCTGTTCTTGAAGGGTGAGGATGTGAAAGCATCCGGATGGAGCTTGCATGGATATAGATATTATGGTCTTACTGGGTTTCTGTTCACGTGTGGGACTAAGAAGGAATGTCCAGCAGACAGCGTGCCAAATATGCTTTGTCGTTCCATCTCCTGCCTTTTGTTTAGAACATCTGTGTTTCTTTTTCTCTACTGTGAGATTCACTTCCAATAATGACCACACCAAAAGAGCAGATGCCAAGAATCTGTTTCAACATCTCAGCCAAAAGTTTAGTAGAGAGTGGATAGAGAATAAGCATATGTTTTAGCAAGTGGAAAAATGTCATAATATAATTATTTTGATTTCCCTATTTGTGTACAATCCCAGGTTAAGGTGCCTTCTGGAGTGAGCATGAGGCTACACAAAATGAAGATAAAACCTTTATATAAAGTCTTATCTCCCCATCTCTTCCAGCATTAACTTAGATGTAGCAAATGTACTAGTAATGTTTATGTCTCAGAGTTGCACAAAATGTGCCACATCCAAAATAACTTGGCATTAACACCCCCTGTTTTCCTCATGGTAGTTCCTGTATTTGTCGACCAGATAAACACGCTTTCCTTTCTTGTTTCTTTTTCTCCTCCCCCAACCAGGAGGAAGAGGATGACAGCGCAGGCACAGAAATGAAGATCCTGAGAGGACACTGTGGACCCGTGTATAGCACAAGGTTCCTTTCAGACAGTTCGGGACTCTTATCTTGTTCCGAGGACATGTCCATCAGATACTGGGACCTCGGAAGTTTCACAAACACTGTGTTGTACCAAGGACATGCCTACCCCGTCTGGGATTTGGATATTAGCCCCTGCAGCCTCTACTTTGCCAGTGGTTCGCACGATCGCACTGCAAGGCTCTGGTCCTTCGATCGGACGTACCCGCTGCGAATATACGCGGGCCATTTGGCGGACGTGGATTGTGTCAAGTTCCACCCCAATTCCAACTACTTGGCGACGGGCTCCACAGACAAAACCGTGCGCCTGTGGAGCACTCAGCAAGGCAACTCGGTGCGGCTTTTCACGGGGCACCGCGGCCCCGTGCTAGCGCTTGCCTTTTCTCCCAACGGTAAGTACCTGGCATCAGCAGGTGAAGACCAGCGGCTAAAGCTGTGGGACTTGGCCTCAGGAACTCTTTACAAAGAACTGAGGGGGCACACGGACAACATAACCAGCCTTACTTTTAGCCCCGACAGTAGTTTAATTGCTTCGGCGTCGATGGACAATTCGGTCCGGGTCTGGGACATTCGGAACACTTACTGCAACGCCCCTGCAGATGGGTCTTCCAGTGAACTGGTTGGTGTATATACCGGGCAGATGAATAATGTACTGAGTGTACAGTTTATGGCCTGTAATCTTCTTCTAGTGACTGGAATTGCACAAGAAAACCAGGAACATTAATTATATATATATTTTTTTTTCTTAGGGAAGTGGGTGGGTGTATTGAATGCCAGAGTCCATTGCAAGCTGAGATTACTGACTGTGAAACACTTTTCTTCCTCTGCCCCTTTGAAAGGCACATTCAGAGCGATGGAAATGCTTTAAAATGTCTTGCCCACAAAAAGGCCTGAACGGAATAAGGAGGAGCGATGAAAATACATGTACATTCTAATCTTGTACTTGTAAGGATGGGGGAAAGGGGAGGAAACCCAGTAGCTTGGGGAAACCAAAAGCCTGGTCCAAACAAATGAAACTGCCAACCAGATAAGCTGCTGACCTGCACTTAAATATCCTGCATTGATTGATGGGTTTGATTGATTGATCTTACCTACTGTTAACTGAGGCTTGAGCGTGTGGAGAACTACTGGCCCAGTGTTTTTTGTTTTGTTTTGCTTTTTTTTTCCTGGTATTGCAGAGGACCAGCATTTTAAAACCCTTATATTAAAAGAACATCACGTATTTTCTACAGTGATAGTGGTCCTAAATATTACAGCTCCCTGAGCACTTCTGGAATATTTTGGACTAGTTAAGTAGGAAATACCATCTTTCTTTTTAGTAAGGGGATGGAAATCTGACCTCAGTTGGGGCCCATCTCTGCATTGTCATTTGGGTTTGCTTCCTGGTACTATCTGTGATGCTTGTATTTATGTTCCATTAATTAGGAATCTTTCTGAGTCTGGTTGCACTGTGTTTTGAGGATGGGAAGACAGTGGGGGTAGAGTGGTGGCTTTAAGGGTAGTAAACAACTTGCCTTGTCTGGAGGGAGGGCACAATAGAACTGAAGCAGCTAAGTTTGGACTCCTAATGGGAACGGGGCATGTCAATCCACCACTGCACCTCACAGAAATATTTCCGTAAATGGAAGTTGGCAGTCGAGGGAGAGGGGAACAGGGAAAGAGAGACACACAAAGTGACATGGAAAAAAAAATAGTATTACTAAATTATTGTGCGTACACGGAGGCAGCTCTGCCAGTGTTGGATTTTTCTCAAAATGTTGCAATATCAGTTTAACGAACACTTTGTGAGATAAATCATCAGCATTTACAACAAGGATCTATGGAAAAAGCACGTTCTAGTTTGTCATTTGGAGAGATTAAATATTTCTGCTTTCTGGAAAGAGTTATTTTGTATTTTGTTTTCTATTAAAAGCATTTAGTTTAAAAAAAATAAAAATGGTTTGGTCCCTTTCTGGGAAACTTGCTCTGACTTGCATGGGAAGGAGAGGGCAGGAGCATGCTTCTCCTGCCCTCTCCTTCTGCTTGGGCCAGAGCCCACTTGGCATTTGGAGGCTCAATCTGGTGGTCTCGCTCACTTGGTGTGTGCTGTTTTGATGTCCCCCTGCTTGCTTTCCACCGAGTTGACTTAGCAGGTCATGGAGTAAGGGACTGACACAGCTTTGTAGGTCAGCTGAAATGCACCTTGAGCATCTAGGTACCCCTTGAGGTTGACGCTGCACCAAAAGGTCTCGTTCTGTAGCATTGCATGATATTTACTCTGTGGTTTGATGTTCTGTAATGCCTCTTCAGCAAAGGCACCATCCTAATGTCTTTTAGACAGGCTGTCGGTATTACGTGGTAATTCCCTTCAGCTTCCCTCAGACCTTCTGGACTTTCCTGAGAGAGTTCTCTTGAGAACATCCAAACAATCTAAGACTTTAGATGACAGCTCACAATTGCCTTTTTTTTTTTTTCTGCTTAGATTGGTAAATAACCAAAACCTTGAATCAGAAAAGCGTTTGACCTTTCTGAGATTAGCAATGGTGTGTGGCTCAGCTCTGTGAGTACCAGAAACCCCTGTACACTTGGAGTTGAATGGCACCACTAATCTGCTTGACAGCTGGATATCAAAAGTGTGAAGCAGCTCAACAATCTCAGACCAGGATCAGGCGTTTTGGAGAAAAAAAAAAACAGTATGGGAGATGGTGGTATTGCTGATGCTTCATCCTACGCAGGTCTCTAGAGACACTTTCTCCTTCAGATCTATTGAACTGAAACTGCTCCCCACTGTTCACTGGAGCTCATTTTGCTGTTTCTTGCCGTATGTCCTGAGCAAAGTTTAGATTCAGAGCACCTGGACTTTTGGTCCTGAAGTAGAGCAAACAGCAACCGAAAGGCGGGGCAGAAATAAAGGTGTCATAGGCAGAGAACAAAGTTTCTCTCTAACATATTACTTCTGCAGTGGAATTGGGCTTTGTTGGGTTATCCTGAAGTATTTTGCATACAGAAGTGATGAGTGAAGAGAAATAAGAAGCAAATTCTATTATACATACATAGGCTAGAAGATGTAAAAGTGATTTCTGGGGTGTTGGAAAAATAGTATCACTGATGATGCACTTCAAACCTACAAACTTTTGTGTGTTGCAGGGACAGTTTTTGATGCTCACAGAATGTAAATGTTTGAAGGCAGGAAGGCAGTAAACAATCTAGACTATAAGAAATGTCTGCAATTGACAGGCTGAATTTCAAGGCAGAACTGGGAGCATAGTATGAGTGGGAGGAAGGAATACTAAGTCTACCAAAATTTGGACAGTCTCTATTAGAGACGTCTCTCTATTAGCTGTGTGTTTCAGAAATAAGTCTGCATTTGCATGGACCTTTTTCTAATTTAAATATATATCATAAAAACGCAAAAGCATTTCAGTTGACATTGTTAAGCACTCAAATATTAGTGTCACAGCAGGGACTGTTGCTGCTTGTGAGTCTGTGTGTAAGGCAGTTCTCGGTCATGTAACTGGGTGCTGCCTGTTTGTTGGTTTGGGGTTTGGTTTTTTGTTGGGTTTTTTTGTGTTTTTTTTTTCAGTAGGCCTCCAGAGCTGCAGGTTGTGTATCTGCAATAGCTGCTGATGAATTTAGTTTCCATTAATTTTGTCTTGTTTCTTTTATTAATGAGCTATATACTTGTAGTTTCCACAGTTTGCCACAGTAAGAAGCAAGACACCTTGATTTGGTGGGGGGGCAGTATTTCTGGGTTTTTACATCCTTTATCTGATAATTTCCTTTGGTTCCCTAACCTCTTGAATCTATAAAGGCATCGAACAGCAAAACACCCTTTCAAAAGCTGTCAGGTAGTCCAGGCCACAGTAAATAGGGGCAACGCTGAAGTACAAGCCCATGCTTAGTCACTGAACACTTTTGAAAGGAAAGGGTATTTGCTCTAATAAACTGCTACGCCCATTCACAGGTCTGTGTTAAAAGTTGCCTTTCCTGCTTTTAACACGGGCATCTCCTGTGCAGCGTGCTGCCCTGCTCTTCACTCTAAATGTCCTAACTTCCCCAACAGCAAAGTTCATCCTATTCCTCCCCGTTCTCATTCCTTTGTGAGAAAGCTGTCTCTTACAAGTGTCTTAAATCTAAAAATACTTTACAGAAATGATGTTTCCATTAACAGATGCTTTGAGTTCGCCAAGAAAAATAAAAAATACTTCAGGCCATTTCGCTAACCTTGTTTCAACTGTCCTCCAGGCTCAGTGGGTTCTTCAACGAAGTCCTGAGATGGCCTTCCTCCTGAGTGGTGTCTAGTTCCTCACGGTGAGACAGGCTCTAAAACTGTACCATTACAAGGCACTGATGTGACAGTTAAATTAACTGCCTGGATGTCCCCCGCCAAAGACTATCCCGTCATGCCGCACGTTAGCTATGGGATTTTTTTAAAAGTACTGGATAAGAGCCCGAACGGACTGAAATAGCTCAACAATGCTCATCATGCTCAGTGTATTTCAAGTACAAAATACTGCTAAACTTTGTCTCTGGACTCATAATCTTTTTATTAACAATTCTAAACATGTGTCTGGCTTTCTGTTTCCTGGACACTGCTATACAACAGCACTGAGCAGAGAAGGTGATATATTCTCTCTCAGTGCCCAGTTTAAGTCAAGGCATCATCCATCATGTCTGTCATCCTGCAGAAATGTTCTCCTGGGCCGGTGAAGTTCCTTGAACAAGGCAGCTGTGGAAGATATTTCTTTAACTTGATATCATAGGTGTTATTCTGTAACTAAAACACACATCCTCTTTTCAAACAGGAGAAGGGATTGGCTGCATTAAGCTGAGGATTAGACAAGGAAGAAGACTTCAGAGCTGCACTTGCTTTATCAGTAGCTCTGCTTGCCTACCCAGTCCAAATCTTTGCAGTTCCATTTAGGATAAGATTGTCTCCTCTTTGCATAAGTTTGTGATATTCAGTGAAATCATGATCTTCTGTTTATGACAAGCCTGATAACAAAAGTACTTTAGCATATACAGCCAGGGGATCAGCCAAGAACAGGACTTGATGGTATTTGGTGCTGTACGAGCATATAATTTAGCACATGGACATTGTTACACTGACACTGCCTGAGAACAGGAGGAAGAAACTCTATCTACCCCACCATCACAGGGAGAGGGTGTGACAGTATCACTACCCCAGCTCTGAAGAACACGATGGGAGGTCGTGCAGAAGCTACACGTGTCAGGGAACTACAACTGTGACGGCACTTCTTTGCTACCACTTCTTCTACTCAGCCAGTAGCGACACTTCTGTTCACACTGCTACACATCAGGCAACTCCAGCAGCTTTGGCAGGACAGCAGGGCTGGTCAAACAGCTTGTTGAAATACTCAAGCTGCCTTCCTTGCTCATAAATTGCTTGTAAATATTTCCTTAATCAAGCATGTTTGGGTTTGGTGTTTTGTTTTGGATTTTTTGTGTTTGCTCCCTGCCCCCCACCTCCCACGGTGGCTTAAAATTGTTTAACAGAGGTAGGCTGTAACATACTGAACTACCTGTTTCCATCTGAGAGAAGCCTTTGATCTTGAAATACTTTGGGGGATATTTGGGGGATGTGCTGAACCCACTGCCCCTAATTTGGAAGGTGCTAGATCAGACTCAACTCTCTCTTTTACACTTTAGTAAGCAGGCTAACTAGACAGAAGCAGTGAGTGCAATGGTCCCGTTCAGTGGCACAGTAATGCTCCCACTGAAGCATCCAAAGGTGGGGTTGCACATGGGTCTTGGGAAGTTCCTAAAAGCAATGGATAGAGGAGAGGTGGGCAGACACTAAGGGGAACAAGGCCGCTTAGATAACAAACCACTCTTGCCAGAAACAGCTTCTTCATCTCTGGACAGCAGTGATAGTACCTGTCCACTCTGATGTCTGCCTTAGGCCAGCCCTGGACCTGGCTTTGCAACAGCTGGTGATGCTTCATAGTTCACGGAGAGGGAAAGGACAGTGCAAATAAGGGCAGAAGCTGCCATGTGTTTGCTGCAGTGATAAACTGGGGTCACGCTGTAAGACGATCCCCGGCAAACTAGTGCCGACCACATCTGGAGGACAGCCATTTGTCTGGCCTCCAGAAAAGCACAGCAAAACTCATGTCATGACAATTTGCCCTTTAGAACTAGCACAGATCCTTCTGGAGCTGCATGTAGTTCAACACCAGAAAGCAGCCAAGCCCAAACTATTAGCTCAGACATCCCGAGGTCTGGAGTTGTGAGCACACACACGACTTTGTAGTATTTTAGGTTAACACATCACAACTTCAGCTCATTGCTGGAGTTGAAACAAGGCATGTTTGCACAGCTTTTGCTCATTTTTTTTGTGTTGGTGAGCAGCTTAGCTTGAGACTTATGTGCTGGACTGCTGTTGCTTTTGCCATTTTTGCTTAAGGCAACAGCAGAGCAATCTGCATGTGGTAAACAAGCTGGAAAAGAACAGTCAGAATTTTGGCGCTCTCTTCCCTCCTGGCAGTTCCACTCCACTAGTGCAAATATTTCATGACCACTTAGGATGACTTTATAACCATCTGTGAGTTTGGGGTTTGTTGTGTTTTTTAACACAATTTTTTTTTCCCAGAAGCAAAGCCTAAAACAAACTGGAACTTAAAGCTCTGCTTGGACCTAAACTTCTAATCACCTTCGCCAATCAGATCTCCTCACCAGAGCAAAGGCAGAGGGTGCCTGGCCTTCTTTTTTTTTTTTTTTTTTTTTTAATTAATGTTCGTTAACAGCAGTGAGTTCAGCTGTGAAACCCTATTTCTCCGCTCTCTCCAGCATCTGCTCATGTATTATGGAAGTTGTTCATTGCATGTTCATATACAATTATTTTTTTTCCTACACATCTCTCTTGGGAATAAAAAAAAAAACCTTTCTCTTATTTTTTTTTTTTTTTTTTTTTTTTTAAATTACTTATCTGTAAT